GCCTCCCGTAGGTGTCGTTCCAACATTCTGATCCAGGTAAGTACCGTATTATTCACGGTTTTTCCTATCCTCCTTAGGATATTTAAGACTGGTAATTCAAATGAAATCTTTTCAAGTACATCTTGTTTTATCTACAATTGCAGTCTAATTATCAGTGTTTTCCTTAGATACGGTCAAGGGTGTCTTTATGTCAAAATTTTCATATAGAAGATGCGTTCCACGGTGTACCAGACAGGGTTTCTTGGGATTAATAATTTAGTTATAACCCACCATAACCCATCAACTTCTAAAATTATTTACCTAATAGTATTATGTGTAACACTTGAATAAGGGTACCCCTTTTTGAAAGACACTAACTAAAGATGTGAAATTGACTCCATGATTGTGATTCAAAACTGAGTACGGTCAAGGGTGCCTTTATTTCAAAATATCCATATAGACGATGCGTTCCACAGTGTACCAGACAGGGTTTCTTGTGATAAATAATTAAATTATAACCCTCTTAACAACATTAAAAAATATATAATTATTATATGTGTAACCCTTTAATAAGGGTACCCCTTTTTAAGAGACACTAACTGAAAATGTGAAACTGTCTCCGTGATTGTGATTCAAAACTGTGTTGAAATTACTATTTAGCACACTCAGTAAAAGTCCCCGCCAATTTAATAGGGTATCCCTCTTAATTACAAGGGGACCTTCTTTTACAGCATATCTTTTTCATACTAGGTCGTTCATAGGGATGAGCAGTACATACTAACACAGTTATTTTATTATGTTAAGACAGTTTAAACTTGTCATGTAAGAGTGTATAAATAAATAATAGGTAAAATGAAAAGCTATTTAAATGACGTACAAAGTAAGTTATAGATCGTTGAATTGCGCGACGTTGTAAGTAAAATGAAAAGTCATGTACTTAAATGAAGTACAGAGTAAATAATTGATCTTTAAATTGTGCGACTTTGTATTTGTAATGGTAAAACGGATTCCTGCGTTTGTTTGCACAACGTACATTCACCTAAACCAAGCCCATACATTCGGACGACAACGATCATTTAAAGAAATCGCATGCGCATGTAACTTTAAGTGACGTAATTGCGTTAAAATCCCATAGCCGTCTTTGTGCATTCGAAAGTTCTCTTGGTATACTTTACAACTTGATATAAGTGATGATGTAATACATAACTTATATTCATATATTCATAAATTGTCGACTGTCACCACAAATAACAAAAATAAGAAAGTGATCTTTATTAAATTGGATCTTCAACGACATCATTTTTATCATTACCATTCTTAACCAGTAAATCATATTTAACCATCTTTTTAAAATGTTAACAGCTATGTTTTTATTACTTTTTGGATGGATTGATGAGTACTGTAAATCACTTGGTTGCACGTTGCCTGATGGAATTTGCCGTGAATAGATCAAGATGATAAGTGTCATGAAACCGATGATCTGTATGATCGATTTTTCTAATCTGTAAATAATACTCCTCTTGTGACCGTTCACAATTTCTACTATTATAACGTTGCCACCCCATAGTTGTATAGTAGGCCTATGCATTGTATTCGCAGAAATTTTACTTTCGGCATTTTTGCCAAACTATGTGTACTGAATTAGCAGATTGTAGACAACGACAATCGTGTTGTAGCAATTATATGCTCCCTATTACTT